TCGCTGCTCTAAGTGTCGCAGGCCTACTCCCGCTACTTGAGTGTTTTCCCCGCCGCAACCCTCAAAGTCACGACCACAGGTAAGTACCCGCCCTGTTGGGGCCTCGACACAAACAAGTGCCCTTGTGGGTCACACACACACTCAGACCGACAAGCACTCAGACAGGCACGCAGACCAGCAAGCGCACACACACACACACACTTAGAAACTCAGCAAAAGCCGGAATCTCAGCAAGGCATTCAGTCCAGCGGCAAAACTCAGAAATCAGCTGTTTTCTCAGTCCATGTTTGGCAGGTCCTTACAAGGCGAATCTCATGTCGAGGAGGAGAAGCAGAAAGCACAACCTAGCAAACAGCAGATAGGCTAGGAAACAACAAACAAACCGGAAAAGGTAGCTTTCATACAAAGGAGAATGCAAGCATGAGAAGCACCCAACAGCTATAGATTCATTTAAACCACGGGACCAGCTCTAGAGTCTAGAAGTAATTCAGAATTTCAGAAAAACAGATAAGGCTGAGAGGAGCTGCAAAGCAGGTTCATGAAAGTACTCTAAACAAGGAGGCAAGTTCTACTTTTCCAGGGGTGCAACAGGGTATATCCTTCCAAAAGGAAGCAATCAATGCCCTTTTCTCCGGGTCCATCAGCCATAATGGAGAGAAGTGTGGATCAGTACAATTTATGAGGGACACTTGACCAGATTTCCGCCACATGAAATAGCTGTTTCAACGAACCCAAAAAAAAAAAGGCAATAATCCAGCAGTTGAGGGCTCTCTAGAAGCGAAATGTGAAAGGCCTTCCACGATTCAGACCCCAAATTCGGATCTCAGGGTCAGATGCCCAGGTCAAGAAAAGGCCAAGTTCGTCAAACTCAGAAAAGTCACAATCGGGTACCTCAGCAGTCTGTTCCAACAGGCACCCAGCAAACAGTCACGTCTCAGGGACAAGAGTCACGTCTCATAATAAAAAAGCCATTCAGAAGAGTAACATCCCACGAGTGAAAAGGCAGATTCACCAAGCAAAGGTCATGTCTCAAAGGCAGGAGTCACGTTTCCTAGTGAAAAGTCATATTGAAGAGTCACATCCAACGAGTAACAGGTAGTATCACAGGCAAAAATCGTGACCCACAGGCAGGAGCCACTGTCCACAGTCAAAAGTCATGTTCACAAGTGAAAAGTCATGACTCAAAGGCCCAAGCAGCAGCAGTCCAACGGAAACTCGGGAAGATTCCAGGCCTTGACATTCAGAAGCAGACAGGCCGTGGGGATGCGGTACCGGAACCAGTCAGGACCCAAGAAACAGAGGCTGGCACAAGTTGAAGTGCAAACCAAGACTACAAAAGGACTGGCTGGCCTCACATTCAGGCAGGTTGCTCATTCGCAAAGAGTGTGAAAGTGCTGGTGCACTTGTGCGCTAATGTGAGGGGCAGAGCGCTGAAGCCAGAGTAATGCGCAAAGAGGGAGAGAGAGAGAGGAAGACAACGCTGGCAGAGAGAAGGCAGCCATAGCTGCGCCAGCGCAGGGTGTTAGTGTTAGTATTTAGTGGTAGTCTTCAGAGAGTTAGTAGAGTTAACAGTGGGTGTATTCAGAGTAGATCTTTGAGGGTAGAAGTCAGTGTGAGTGTGCATGCATGTAGGGAGAGAAGATACAGCGAGGTCAGGAGCTAGGGAGAAGTCCAGCAAGGAGGGGTGATACAACTAAGAGAGAGAAGAGCAGGGAAAAAGACGAAACTTACCTGGGTGATCATGTTGTATGATTGGATACCTATGACATGCGCTGATGTGCACTGGTGACTCGGAACTCTTATTGCTCTTGTATAACTTGTTGGAATTCATAAGCTGCGTTATCTGGTCTTAATCTCTCTGGTCTTCAGTGTGAACTCCGTGTGATCTCGTATATGCATGAAGTGTGAATAAGGGCTTCACATCTTCGAAAGAAAGAAGAGGGGAAAAAAAATCACTTCATTTTTCCAGGAGGGCGATGACCCCCCAACTGGCGCCAGCCGACTGGTAGAGGTTGGCAGCCAACCGGTCGGGGGCTGCCGACCGTTGGCATGACTACTCTGTGCGAGGCTCAATGCCTCGACGAGCCCTACTGGGCCCTGTTTACAGCAATATCGGCCGCCCTAAGTGAACGCAGGCCCGACCAAGGACGACAGGCCTATTTTGGGCTTACCACGCAACTGGGAAATTCAGGCAGCTGCGCAGCGCCAGTTGGTTGAAAGAACCCAGGCCCTGCCTGCCTTTCTCAAATGTATCTGAGGCAGGCCCTGGGCTAGACACGGGGCATGGACTGCGCACAGGCCGCCGACAGTTGGACACGGGTAACCACCCCAGGCCCTGTGTCTGATTCCCCTGGACCGGGGCTCAGCCACTTGGGGCCTACCGGAAGCTTCTGGGCGAGGGGCCCAGCACATCCAGGCAGCACGCAACAGGCAGGCCATTTACATATAGGAAAGTTCCTGCCCCCGCATTGGGCATTCGGGCACTTGCTACATGCTGCGCTACTGGCAGACAAGCGCCCACGCGCTCACGGGCGAGCAGGGTATACGCAGGCAGCCATAGCCGAGCTGGCCTGCGAGGTGCTGGATGGAGCGCATGGTGGTCCTTGGGTGCCCGTGGTATCTGTGTGGGGGATCAAGGTTGTGAGTGATACGAGAGACATCCAGATCAAGGTTGTGAGTGATACGAAAGACATACCTGGTGCTTGATGCGAACGACATTGGCCGAAATCTGCTCGTACTTCGGGGAGCTGTTGATGTCACCAGCAGCATTGTAGATAGGCTAGATAGGATCTGCCATTTGTAGTCTGGGCGCAGAGCGCCAGATAGGAAATCGACTTGAATCTTTGTTGATGATGATGAGACTATTCCAACATTGTCACTTGTGAGCTTTTGCTGTGCTCTTATTTGGTGGAACTCTAGTTGCAATTCTGCTTTTGGTTCGAGGTCACAACTATCTGGTTTCATGTGTATGATGCTGCTTGGTTTCTGGAATTCGCTATCGCTCATTTTCCTTGCATTTTGGTATCAGAGCTGTGGTACGTTGTGCTAATCTGGCGTTTGTCTTCTGTCTATTCGGTACATGCACGCGGTCTGCTGGGTGAGCGGCCGTGGAAGTGTGTAGTGAGGAGGGCGAAGGCAAGTCGGCGACCCAGGCGGAAAAGGGTATCGCCAGGAAGGCTACGAGGTGATTATGGGTGTTTCGCAGTGTGATGAGAACTATCTGATGTGCGATTGATGCTGAGGTGGAACGGCGGTATAATGCTGGTTGTGCCGAAACAATGATTGGTCATCACAATCGGTGTCAGGTCCCCTGGTGAGAATATCTGTGGTTGGGGGCAGCTATTTTGAGGTACGTTGCTCTTAACCTTATCTACCCTCTTCGACCGTGAGGATGTGTGTTCTGTCTTGAGAGTCCTCTCATGTGTTACATGCTAAAAGCCTACACACGGGCCCCTCACGGGACCCGAGGTTGGAATAGGGCCCCCAGGTCGCGTCACCGCAACCTGAAGGCCCTATGGCATTTTTACTTGGGCCTGCATCAGAAAAACGCCAGCTTTAGATTATTTTTATAGTCTTTATTTTATTTATTTGCTGCTGTTTTTCTAACGGGTGCACTGTTGTCCGTTTTGTGGCCAGGTACACGCTTCTAGGGCCAGGGCCAGATTCAGGCCCAGAGGCTGAGCTCCTAAAAACGTTTGGACCTTTTCTTTTGTTTTCGAACAGATTTTGACCTGTTCGAACCCAGGCCGRCGTTGAGGYCGGGTACGTCCGCACAGGACCGGTTTGAAGCCAGGTACCAGGAATATTAATCCTGGACAGGGCCTGGACGTCCGGTAGGGACCCAGGCAGGCCGTTTTAGGCCAAGGACTGAACCAGTTTTCGAAGCCTGCGATCTGGACCGTGGATCGGAGTTCCGATCTGCACGGTCCAGAACGCAGGCCGTGGGTTTTCAGTCCTGGCCCAGCACTACTTAAGCTGGGCCATTGCCCAGTTCGGACACAGAAGGTACCAGGAGAAATCCAGCGTTATGCTGGTTCAGGAACTTGGCTGCTGCGCTATTTTGGAGACTCCCTGCTGCGC